TGAAGAGAAAGCCATGGATTGATGATTTACTCTTCTTCTGTAGCTTCTAGCCGTCTTCTCTAGGGTTTCAGATGCCAAAACTGGTCCCCAAAATCCCTTTTTATAACCTCCAATCAATTCTAAGTCAAACACATGCACAAATATCGAGGCAACTCTGCTCATGCGGATTGGGAATTCCACTCGTGCAGATCAATACAAAGGCGGCACAAAATTTGGGAAATTTGCTCTTGTAGATTTGTGAATTCCGCTCATGCGGATTCACTTAGTGGCGGAGTTTTTGCTTTTTTTTGCCTCTTTTTGTGATCCTTTTATCTCTACAGTGATATTAACCTAAAAAGGGAGGAAAATACTTTATTCTATCAAATATCATAGACTAGAAGACTAAAAACATAAGATAAGGAGTCTCAACGTGTAACATTTCGGCTCATATCACTACATTCATCATCAGCTTTTTCATTTTGCCAATCTATGCGGTGATCCCCAACAACGAATGTCGCCTGCATTCTAGCAGCTACCCATCCCAGTGTTTTACCCCCTTTCCCCCTCTGGTGGTTGTGTCATAAGGTAAGGGGTTGATGTTCTGCTACTTTGGTATGTTGCCTGCGGTCATGCATGATTCGGCCTTAAGGGACATCACTGGGAAAGCGGTCAATCCTAAACTAAATGGCATGAGTGCAAAGGGAAGATCATCTAGTATTACACCACTGTTGTATATTCACTGCCGGCAACTCACATCGCTCTGTATGAGAGGCGAATTGAGTGTGAATATATTGCAAGAATTGAGAGGGTCAAACATGCTCTTTTTTGAGGGATTAGAGATGTTTTTTGGACCGGTGTAATTAGATGGGTCTGGGGTATAGGAGACACTATTTCTGTTCTTTTTGGGTTGATGTCTCTATGCTGGCTCATTTTGAGTTTCTAGTATAGAGCTCCCACATGCAGGTGTTCTCAGCAGTCGCACGGTGCAGTGGCTAGTATGAGATTGTTTATTTTTGAGGAGATTGAGATTGAGACGTGGCAGTGTCATGCCAACTCATGTCCGAGTGGGAGATGTTAGAAATTGGGCGCCCATGTGGCATGACCCTTAGAACCTTTTGAACCTCATCCAAATGGGTTTTTGAATTTGAATTCAAACCTATTTGGATAGCCACTCAGGATATATATCTATCATATCATGATATGGATAGATGATATAGATATCAGATATTATCTCATTTAACCAATGGATAAATGAGATAAATATAATATATATCTGATATATGGTTATGGGTAACCAAGATAGAAAACTACGTAGGTTTTGTTTTCAACCCATAAACTGACTCTCTCCCAAGAAACAACGATCAAGTCATTTTGCACTGTGGTTTGTGTGGGTGATATTCACCATTGTAATATCACCCCACTGCTGGGATTGATTGATTAGATTCTGGAAGCACGTGATTTATTCATGAGGTTCTATCATCGAAAGGTATGATATGATTATTTTATCCGCTGCGTAATTGTTGGATTTTTTATTTACATTTGGTATTAAACGTCACGAAAACAATTAGCGGCGTTTTTGATAGCGACTAAAAACCTAATTTCCAGCAGTGTTAATAATAAATTGGAACTCTATTCCTTATTTTTCTTTTTGTGTTGATCAAAAAGAAATTAAATAAATAAAATAAAATTAAAATGGAAGACAATAGAATTCACAATGATTATTGAATCCACAATTTAAATTTGTTAATTTCCATACATTTTTATACTGAAACCTTGACGTATCTTCTCTTTCCATCTGTGATTTGATCAAATCCAAATCGGCTTGTATAAAAATAAAATAATGTTTTTGATGAGTATATTTAAATTGTATTTAAATTTGAATTTATGAATAGAGAGAAAAGTAGAGGAAAAAAAAAAATGAGTTAGAATTAGAATTTATTTTTCATTTCACTTTTTCTGTCTTACAACAAAATTCAATATTGAAACAGAACGTGATTTTGTCAATTAATTTTTCTACTCACAGAAAAAGAAGAGGAAATTTGAAATTACGGTGATAGGGCCATTGGTCAATGAACGCTCATTTTAATATTCCCTTTGGCAGGAAAATGAATGGCACACCATAGTTTACGGGACACTCACATGCTAACGTAGAATTTTCATCATCAAAACATTACTTTAGGCAACAATTTTGTTTAATAATGCAATACTTTCTGGCCAACAACATGGTTTACTTATATAATATACATAATTTATTGTGCGTACATTATATTTTAGTTAAATATCTTTCAGTGACTTTATCAAAATGGAACCAAATTCTCACTGGTACTAACATTTTTTATTATTTTTATTTTAATGTGATGATGATTCCCCATTCACCAGAACTAATGTTTCTTTATTTCCTCCATGTGCAATTGCAGCTAAGGCACTATAAAAGATTTCAATCAACTAACCATTGTGTGTATTTGTGACTTATCTATATATATTCAACAAAGCTTCCATGATGGTCTAGTTCTATGAACTAATAATGCACTCTAGGTCATACGAGGGAGGTGGGACTCATCATGTTCGTGTTGACATGAAAATTCTTGATATTTTATATAGTTTAATCCTATATATATATATGTGTGTAAGATTTGGGTTGTTTTTTGAGGTCATTTTACTTTAATTATTTAACTTTACTAATTTACTAACATCCAACCATATAACGTCAGTTAAAAAACTAAATCCATCTTTGTTTACGTAGATTTCCTCAAAATAAATTACATGGTTGAGTTTGAACTCCCATATTGGGAATTTTTGTTATTAGTTGTTTGTTAGGCAAAACAGATCATATGAGACAGTTGAAGGATCATTCAATTTCGAATGAACAACTTGTGAATAGGGGGTCTTTCATGTTGAATCATCGATGGAGACTTCAGTGAATATATATTGTCCAACTTATTAAATATCAATTAATGTCGAGTTAAAAAGAATATATATGTCATCATATGCAATAGCATGATCATTGCTTTTATGAATAAATTTTACTTTGAACTTTCATGAAAAATATATTGGAATCTGACAATTAGTTTGTCAGCAGAAATGTTAGTATTTGTGCGCTCAGAAATTAATTTCTTAATTTTATCAATTAATTAAATAAATTGTTTGGCATTTTATTTTACACTTTTGTATATTATTATTTTGGATAATGTTATATTTAATGTTACATATGATGTGAGCACAAGGTCCCTTGGGTAACGTTATAGAAAATCATACTAACGGTTAATGAACCAAAAGCTAGCGTTACTATTTTTTCAGTCACTACAACAAAAGTAACCTATGATGACGAAAAGTAGTGAAGAAAATAAATTTCGTCACTAAATAAGAATAATCCGTGACGAATTATAAAATTTTGTCACATATAAGAAAAAAATAAAAATAATAGGTCACGAAATTTATTTTCGTCAACAAATACTTCTTTTTAGGTGAGGAAAAATTAAGTTTCGTCATCGAAGGTTTTCCCGCTAATTTTTTTTTGTGGCACCAAAATTTTAAGACTTTTGGTGAGAAAAAAATTTGTCACCAATTCTAAAATTATTAGTGAGGAATATGTTTTCGTCACCAATAATTTTATATATATATATTTTTTGAGAACCCTGATTTTAAATATTTTAAGACCATTTGGTGAGAAATATATTTTTGTCATTAATAATTTTTAATATTTTGAGACTTTTTAGTGAGGAAATTATTTTGTCACTAATTTTAGATGGAAAATTTTGACATATTGGGCAGTAATGAAAAAAAATATACTACTAACTCCTCCCCCCCTTTTTGTTTATCAATTTTCCTCTCCCTCTGTGTCTCTCTCTCTCAAAACAAAACACAAGTTAATTAGTTTTCTAAGTAACCTATAGTGACAAAAAGTAGTGAAGAAAATAAATTTCGTCACTAAATAAAAATAATCTATGACGAATTATAAAATTTTGTCACATAATAAAAAAGTAAAAATAATAAGTGACGAAATTTATTTTCGTCAATAAATACTTCATTTTAGGTGAGGAAAAACTAAATTTCGTCACCAAAGGTTTTCTCTTTAATTTTTTTGGATGGGGCCAAAATTTTGAGACTTTTGGTGAGAAAAAAATTTGTCACAAATTATAAAATTATTAGTAAGGAATATATTTTCATCACTAATAATTTTAAATATTTTTTTTTGAAAAATTTGATTTTAAATATTTTGAAACTATTTGATGAAAAATATACACTACAACAAAAACACACTTTAGTGGCACTGCACTAGTGACATGCTTTTAAAAAATGTCACAAAAATAATATTTTGTGACATATTTTAGAAAAATGCTACAGAATTGTAAACATATAAGGCTCTAGTGGCATTTCAATAAAAAATGTCACATCAATTTTATGTGACACAAGAAATTGTTTTAGTGACATTTATCAACAGATGTCATTAAACTAAGTGGGTGCAAGTTACTTTTTATGGCATTAGGTGAAAAGTGTCATAAACAAATATTTTATAACATTTTGAGAAATGTCACTAAGCCAAAAACTTTCCAAGCTATCTAATGACATTTTTTGAAAAAAACAAAACTGCAAATATATTTTCAAAATTTTTAAAATGCACAAACAATAAAAAACAAATAAATTAAACTGCATATAACATGTTTTTTAACTATGCTTGTCACATGTATAAATTGATCAACGACTTTATATGACTTAAAACAAAAAATAAAATTTCAAATTGTTCTCCTATGCAATAATAAATTTTTTTGAATTTTAATCTCTATAATTTCAATTAACTCGATTTTCACTCTGAATATTACCGCCCAATTTGAGTTTAGTTTAATTTCAGTATTATTATTTTTTAATTTATGTGATATCCCAATTTGAGTTTAGTTTAATTTCAGTATTATTATTTTAATTTATCTGTATACACAGGTACATACACCAAACAGAGTGACCAAACACCAGTCTTGCTCCCCCCCTCTCTCTCATAGCCGCTCATCGGCGGTCAGTCAGCATTGCTCGCCGTCGGTCACTCATCGTAGCTCACCCTCTCCTCGGCTCCCATCGACGTTCAGGTCTCTCTCTCTCTCTCTCTCTCTCTCTCTCTCTCTTCCTTATTTTCTATTTCACTCTAGAGCTACGGTTGTTTTTTTTGGTTGTTGTTGATGTTGTAGGATTTTTTTTTTTGTGAAATGAGTACATTAGTTTTGATTTTTGTTCTAGATTTAGGGTTTTTTGAACTAATTATTGGTGTGATAGATGAGATGATTTATTCTATGAAATGATTTAGGGTTTTTGAATTTCAAGTTGAAGATATATTGAACAAACGAAATGGATTGTAGTTTTAATTATACAAAATTTTCTTTCGATTCTTAATATTAACTCCAATACTAATTTAACAATGATTTTTTCTCATTACTAAAATTGTAGTTCTATTTAACTGCTCCTAATGTTTGTCTATTTCATTTTCACTTCATGTACTTCAGAGGATGAAACCAAATCAATTAATTCCATAGGTGATTAATGCATATATGCATTTAAGCAGAATTTAGGGGATAGTAGGATGTTTGATAGATTCATAAATGGAGTATACACCGAGTTTTCGATTGGTTTGTTAAACATGCAGATTGGCCATCTCATTTGCAGGCAAGAACACCCAATGCCTGTGATTTTTATCTCATACATACAAGCCTTCAAAGGTCATTTATCTCATCGAATCTCTTCTTGATTACAGGTCAGTGGATCCTGCATGATCAAAGTTTTCTTTATAAAATTTCTCTAGTTTGTCTTGTACCCTTGAAATCATGTTCATGATCTGAATAAGATCTAAAAAGGATTTTCAACTATGATAAAATGTTACAAAATTGTTCTTAAATTCTTGAACTTATTAGAAAAAATTTCAGATGTTTGGAAAATCTTGATTTCTCTAACATAATGGAAATGCATCCCTGTTTCCTGTTATATGCATACACATTTGAAGTACTAACTGTTTACCATGAAGGAAAATGCAACAAAATTAGCTGCTGATAGCTTCCAACAGTATATAGAAATGGTAAACTAGTGTAGTGGGTTGTCTTAACTTGGTACTAGTGCTCAGGGTATACTGTCCAAGTGGAAACCAAATTGACAAGGGATAAGATTGATTTGGTATTTTAAGAGTCTAGACCATGGACACCAAACAGAGCTCTTGTTTAGTTTATTAGTGAGTGGGGAGATATGTTGTTGATGGTCTTTTGTTTCACTATGTCACTTGCTGAATTCTTCAACAGTCACTGTCCACAGTTATCATAGCAGTACTGTTTATGAGAAATCGGTCACTGTTCTTTGCATCAATGTTGTCAATAATTGTTTAGCTTAACCGTTATTAAATGAGATGGTGGGGATTCCTTGAGAAAGGTGGTTTTTTTTTTTTTCTCTGGGTAATTGTGTTTGAGTCCGCTTTTGGGCTACTGTGTGATAAATTTCTCTCTCTACTTGTTTTATTTGAATCAGTCCCTCTTCCCTCTTTCTGGTTTCAAACTCATGGACCTTCCACAAATCTTGAATGAAAATTTTCTTTTGTTGGGTTTAACTTTGAAAAAAAAAAAAAAATTTGGAAGAATGCATGCATTTCATAGATGTTAGGTGGCCATCCCTGTGACAAGAATTAGTATAAAATATTACTAGTTTTACATCCTCAATATTAATGATAAATTATGTACATGATTGGATGGCATTCAACAACTAGAAGTTTTTAGAAATGTTATACTATACTTTAGGCCAACGATACCTTGAATCATTGGTTTAGAATTTATTTCCAGAATATTTCTAATGCGTTATTCCATGCAGGGATTTGAACAATTTGAGATGGTATAATTTTTGTGGAGAGGGTTATCTCATCGTTCTTAAAAAATTATTCAGTGAATTGCTTCCGAAACTGGGTGGCTGGAAGACAAAATATACTACAGGAAGAGCATTTGTTATGTGTATGGAAGATATTTGTTTTTGTGTAATCCTCAAAATTATTCTCCGAGATAGCTTGATGAAGTCAATGATATCAAAATTTAGTTATAGTTTTTTCAGCTTTTACTTTTTATCAGTGTCTTTTTTACTCTTTCAGGATGGTTTATAATTTCTGACTTCAAATTTGGCTCGTAGGCAATTCAAGACTCGAGAACATAAGATACAGATAATAAGGCTTCAGAATATGAATTGATATACTCAATTTGCTTGGAGCAAGTTAACTAGGAGACCTTGTTTGAAGCTTGCTATGTTTGCATCAGGTCTCTCTTCTAGCTTTCATACCAATTATTTAACAATTTCTCATCAGTGCATGTCACATGATGATTCTAATCTTTTGATCTTCATATACAATGAACATATGCTCAGTTCAATCAATATTTAAGTACTTTGGTGAATTTCCAAATTATTAATGTTGATTTTATTTATTAAGTACTTTGGTTCTACGTGTTGCATAATCCCATCTGGGCAGACCACAGTCCACTGTGTTCTAACTTGCATGAGTACAAGAAGCAGAGAAAATGCAGCAAACCTTTGTACCCATTTGAACATTTCTGGAGTTTTTGTGACTTAAAAGCTTTCGAACTTTTTTATTTTTTGGTAATTGTAAATTTCCATGTTGTTCTGCATGCTAATGCAGATCCCATCTGTGTAGATTTCAATATACTCTATGCTCTGTTGCATCCTAACTTGCATCAATGCAGAAAAAAGAAATACAGAAAAATCTATTCAAATCAGAGCTTTGCTTCCCAAAATTTCAAAAATGTTAGTCTCATCATAGTAAATTGAACTTGTTAAATAATTGGTTAGAATCTAGATATGCTTGTCTTTGATTACTCAGCTGCTGCTGTCTTTTGCAGTTCCAAGCTAACCTCATGGATCCATCGCCATGCATGATGCAGTGTGATGGATTAGCGTGAAAGACTTAGTAATTCTATGTTTGTCATGCTGTAGAAAATTGAAGATCATGATTCAAACTTAGTTTTAGGAAATTAAGCTTTTAAGTATGTCAATTTAGTTACGAACTTGAATGGATTTGAGCCAGGAAATGAGATCAGTCCCATAAAATTGTGCCATTTGTTTGAAAGTCTGAATGAGACCACGCATTCTTTTTCCTTTTTGGGTGTTGCTGCATTTTTTTCTTCATATCAGACTTTTCACCATGGGACATTTGCATATTTGGATGTTTCATGGAAATGAAATTATTTTGTGGATACATAATTCTGGCGTTTCATGATATGTTAATTGATAAGACACGATCCATCTTGATTGTATCTCTGTTAATCATCAATGCCCATTAAATGATCACTGTATGCTTGTGACCAAATAGTTGTTCAGTTCCAAATGTGCCCTCGGGTATTTAGCTTCTTCGAATTAGTGTATGCACTATCATCCAGACGAGGGTTTTTTGTTATCTTGGTTTTACGACATTGATGCTTTTTATGCCTAATCTAAATGTACTCTGATTCTTCTCATTTTAAAAAAAAAATGTGCACCTGCCCATGGCAATTGCTGCCATTTCGTTTCATTGGCAGTGATTGAATCTTTCATAGCTTTCAAGGCTTTTGTTATGTCTTAGTTACAGAGTTATCAAATCGATAATTACAATGACCCATTTATGTCACCGACAGGCAGTGGATTCAGAGGATGGGTTCCTCTACTTATGGGACTGATCTCATTTCCTGGCTATGGATTGATAAAGTGCTATATTGTATGTTTGATCTTTCAGAGCATCTCCTCCATAAATTTAAAGGTTATCTAATGGGTGTTATTTTTCGTTCTAGTTTTCAGGGGCACAAGGAATGGATCGATGAAATGAACTTGTTGCATGTAGTCAAGCACCAAAATCTTGTCAAGTTAGTGGGATACTGTGCAGAAGATGATGAAAGAGGGATTCAGCGGCTTTTGGTGTATGAGCTCATGCGTAACAAAAGCTTAGAGGACCATCTGTTGGCTCGGGTAGCGTCTCCTCTGCCATGGATGGCAAGATTAAAAATTGCTCAAGATGCAGCTCGTGGTTTGACTTATCTGCATGGAGAAATGGACTTTGGAGACTAAAAATTTGTATGATGAATTATTATTAAATTTGTATGATGGATTTATTTTGATTTATAATATAAATTGGTTACTGAATTGTTTTGTAGAGTGATGTATAATAGCTAGTGGATTTGTTAGTATATTTGAAGGCTATTGAGATATGAGCAGGATATTTGTGAAATAATAATTTAAATTGAATTATAAAATATGGAACAATAAGTTTTGTGACGAAATTTATCGCAGCTATATATGTATAGTTTTGTTGATTTTGTTGTTTGGTGACCAAAAATTTTGTCACGTATACATCTTTTTGTCACGAAATATATTTCGTCACCCATGTATGACTTTTGGAGACGAAAAATTTCGTCACCTTTACATCTTACTGTGACGAAATTATTTCCTCATCAATGATCAACATTTGTGACAAATTTATTCGTCAACTAAAATTATAAATATGGTACTGAATAATTATTTGGTGACGAAAATAAGAATTTTTGGCGACAAAATCTTGTTTTATTGGTGACAAAAAATTTCGTCACTTAACTAATTTCATTGGTGACGAAATTATTTTTCGTCACGGTGGTTTTTAGTGACAAACGTTCAATGACGAAACTGGTGACGAAAATATTTCCTCACAAATATCTATAGTGACAAAATTAGCTTTTTCGAGACAAAAAAATTTCGTCACTCAAGACCCAACTTGTTGTAGTGAGTGCCGTGTTGACCCAATTAATGTTCTGGGCTATGGGCGTTGATTGGGCGTCGCACTACTACAGCTTACACCTATTTTGCTACTGTATGATAGAATGATTAACTCCATCGTCGAGGTAGTGACATAAGGCAAATAGGTAGGTGCTCTGCAATAAGTGCATGCACTGATTATGATCGGTTTTGAAAATGCCTACGGAATGATCACTGTCAGTTTGAAAGGTAGTTCTATTACAATACATTTATTTTCTTTTGACCCGATAACCTTGTATAAATTAATTAACTATTTATTTAACTTTGATATTGTCAATCGGTGATGCCGAACCAAAGGCTATATACAGACATGTTGGGTTATATGAGTGGTAATTGATTTATATAGGTGCTTAACATGGAATCCACCATTCTCAAAGTGAGAAAATATATTCAAGTAATTTTTCCTATTAATATTGGGCCAAAAGAAAACCGGCCGGTAACTTTTTCATAAAAATATCGTTATTTGTACACATATAATTATAAAAGTATATTTTGAAAAATGCTTTAGGGGTTCAATTAGAAGAAAGAAAAATTTTGAATTCACCTGCATGAGCTAGGTTTTGATAGTGATAAATTTGTTCGTACCTGTAGACACCCCATTTTTGACAGCTCTTACAACTTGGATGTCCTCTCATGCACACCTGATGATAAGTTTATTTGCTCGCCAAGTGCTTGAAATCCTCAGTGGAATGCCACAACTTTGAGCCTTTCAAATCTTGATAGCCTTTCAAACTCAGCTTTGGACCAAGCCTATGTCCTTTAAGCCAGCAGCATTTGGTGGCCTGCCGGCCATCCCTAGAGGTTGTCGGCCATCACTTTTGGGTTGCCAGCCATTGATATGGCTTGCTAGCCACCAGTGATGGCCAACCGACTACCAGTGTATTTTGCAAATATTTTATGCCAGCTGTTTGCACAAATGCACACATCTTCACCCACGTGTAGGGCTGGATCTCCTTGATGGAATTTCATGTTTTCTATATATAGAAGACCTCTCACATTGTTTTGAAGGTTAGAAAATTTTGAGCTCAAAATTTTTTCTCTCTACAATTCTCTCTCTACAAATTCTCTACACTTTAGCCTCTAATTCCTTAACCTTTGCCCATACACCCTTAACCAAATCTTCTCATCTTTGAGCTGAGGTGTTCTTGTGAGAACCCGAATATACAAATTAAGTAAATAATTAAATAATAATAATTTTACAATCTCAAATATTTTGTTGGTGAATCCTAAAGTACAAATTAAATATTGTTGGAGGGACTTTCAATTAATTTTAAGCCTAAAAAATTTATGGTGAAAATCTCTAATTTAGAGGTAAGATTTATTATTTTTTTTTTAAAAAGGGGGGAAGTTAGTTAGTATATTTTGATCTAATAATAGTTTTATTTTATTTAAATTAATGATGAGAGGAAATATAATAAAATAAAAACAGGATACTAATTTAGAATCTTTTAAGTTTAGATATATATAAAGCAACCCTAGTTTTCCTAACAAAAACCCTAAACTCTCATGTCATTCAACTAGCAGCCGTAAAGAGGAGATAGGAGTGGCTTTTGGTGAAAATTGAAGAACTAGTTTGGTGCTTGAGTAACTCCATCTCCAAGGTAGAAACAAATATTCTGTGAATATAGTTATTTTGTATATATGTTTCTGTGCATTCAATGGAAGAAGAAGGAATGAAAGCTTAACTGATTTGGTGGCTTGAATATCTATCAGATTAATAGTTGGTGTGAAATAGTGTAATGGGTATAGTGGATGTATGAAGAACAAGTATATGGCATGGATTATATTCAATGGGTGTTTTTCCTTGAAATGGTGGATCTTGTGAGTGAAACGTGGGTTAGGTAGGAGTACTTGGCCACCAATATTTGTGAATATCATGTTTCTTTTATGTAGTTTGAGGAATTAAATGGGTACATATAGTTGAGGGTACAATCTATGAGTATGAAATTCTACACAGAACCACAAACTTTTTAAAAATCAAGAAACCATATCAAACGAATGAATTTTGAACTAAAATTTTCACAGTAGATTAATTACATATTGAATTGCATATTTGATTTTTTTCATAATTTTTGGGAGTCAAAATCCATATAAACTGATGTGTTCAAATCTGTCCAGAAAACTGGTTCAAACAGTAAATTCGAGAGTGTTGTTCTCTTTGGGTATAAATTTGAAAATTATCAAATCAGCGTCATTAGAACCGGTTACGAGTCTAGTTTCTTACATTTTTAGCCTTGCATTGATTTCTCCTATATACTAAGAGAACCATTAATTTCTTTAAAGTGCTGCAGAAAACAACCTGTTTAGATATAATTAATTGTAGATAATTATTTTAATAAGCAAATCAAGTGAAACCATTTCAGTTTGAAACTTAGGATATATTAGTTAATATCTGGAGGGTTTTGGAATTTTTCAAATAGCGTGGAGTGGGTTTTGTAATTTTCAAAGTTAGCGAATAGATTGGGAAAACTAGTTTAAAATTCTGTTTTATCTTAAAGTTACTTTTAATTAAGTTTCGACTGGAACCCATGTCTTGGATGATTTTAGACCTTGAAGAACATGAATTTAGGTAATATTTAAGAGTAACGGTGAGTTGGGTTGAGTCGTGTTAGTGTGCTTTAGTTGAGGTTTTTAGTATTTTTAAATTAGTAGTAACGTGTAGTTTTTATACTTGGTTTAGGGCACTAGTTGGACTTTTATACTCTATTCGAGGATTACATTATTTCGTTTCCAGGTGAGTAGTTTCATGCTACATATTTTTATAAATGTTCCCCTACCCTGAACTGTTGGAAAATTAAATTGTTGCTTCGTGACTAAACTGTTTTAATAAATTATTATATTATCATTGGAATCAAATTATTTCTGAAACATGTGTGAACTTGGCATATTGTAAACTATTTGTCTTGGTCTCATGTTTATAATGATGACCTACCATGTTTTGTGAAACTGATGTGTATTGATTATTTGGACCATCTGTGTATTTATTCCAGGGAAATTATTCCACTGTGTGTGGTGACTCTGGCCACTAGGGAACAGATCCGGGTTAGGCCGTGATGACTCTAGTGCTTAACGATTGTAAGGAAAAGACCTACATTAAGCTAGGTGACCTTCAATCGGATCGTCTTAGAGAAAAGACCCAGGTTGCCACCCTGAGGATGACTCTTAGTTCGGTATTGGATCCAATGGAGCTTATAGTCTTAAGAACTGTGTGGCATATTATTTGTTATTTTCTTGGTACCCAGAAAATTATTGGTGTTCATGTTGTAATCTGTTTTAAGTGAAAAATGTCATTTATCATGTTCTCGAGAGACATGAGTATTTTAACTGTTGAACTGTGGAACCTTCTTTTTGAAACAGATTCTCTTTACCAAACTGTATGCCAATCTAGTTTCTGTGATATATATATCTTATTTTGGAATTGATCCTTGTTTTCAAAAATGTATATACTATCCATGTTGCTACTCACTGAGCTATCAGCTGACTTAGTTGTTTACCACTTCCAGGTGTTAGAAGGACATAGAGTGGACTCATGGCATAGCGGGGACTCGATTGCATGGACCTCTAGGACATTCATTTATTTTAGAGTGTTATGTCAAGTTCGTGCATATTTATATTCATTTTTATTGAGGTTCATTTAGGATTATTTTGATTTGTGGGTTGTTTTTATCCCATAAGTTTGGATGGTATTGATTACGGTTGATTTTTCCGTTTATACTTGTGGCATGACACTGGATTGAGTTTTGGTTATTTATTAATGGGCTATTTTATAGTTATTCAATGTGTATGGTTTCGTATTTAGGCTTACGTGTGCCTTGGGCTAAGGCCCTGTGAGCCACGGCCGGTCATACCCGGGTTTGGAGTGTGACAGTTCTTGAGCTTGGTTTGAGCTCTAGAGGGTGTATTTGCTTGGTTTTATAGCTTGGAATTACTCTTCTCTTCAAAAGGTATAATACTTGCTTTATTAGCTTGCTTTGCATGCTTGTTTTTCTATCTTTTTCCCACTGATTTTGGGCTTTTTTAGGTTATAAAATCTCTATCTTTGTTGGTTGAAATTTGTGGTTTTAGGCCATTTAAAGGTAGGGGGTGATTCGCCCTTCTTTGTATCTTGCTTGTAAGGCCTTTCCGCCTTTGTTCCCCACTTTCAAACTATCTTTTGCCAAGCTTTTAAACGCTAATTTTCAAAGCTTTTTCAGTGGTGAAAATCATGTTTTGAAGTCCAAGTTTGGAGTGGTTAGCCTCCCCCTCCTTATGTCTTGTTTGCTAGCCTGGGTTGTGCTATGCTTTAGCTTACTTTTCTAGATTGTTTTAGCTTAATTCCAGCATATTTTAGCCTCTGATTTGAACGGTTTTAACTCTGTTTTGGGTTGATTAAGTCATTTGAGCTTTGTTTTGCATGCTTTTAGTGTAATAGTCCTCACAAGCTTGGTGTTTT